AAATGTATAATGTTATGAGATTTAAGCTATTTAGTCTGAAAATTTATGATTTTGTTTTATAATTTGTGTTCATTCTAGAACAAATAAGAAATAATTTCTATTTATTTCCTAATTTTTCAAACGTGGTTACAAGATCAGTCAAATTGACCAAAACCGTACAGAGATTTGTTACTGAAAATAACATTAAAATATAAAAAATTTCTAAAGAAATGTTTGATAACTATCTGGACATTAACAGAGATTTTGCATGTGAAATTTGAAAATATTCTGATGCACAAAGCATTTTTAATCTTAAAATGAAAATTACTTTGCATGTTGGATAGGCAACATGCAAAAAAGAAAAAAAAGGTACGAGAAAAACATTGCTTTACAAACCTTAAGACTTAATAAAAAAAAATAGTATTTTGCATATGAAAGCATTGTAATGTTTACTGATAATCTGCCAAATTTTGTTAACAATCGCTTACTAATTTAAAAGTTATAGCATGAAAACTATAACAAACAAAATGGTTACAAGGTCGGTCTCAGGGACCGAGCCTGTGCTGAAAGAGTTAGCAATGACTGGTACTATGGCTATAGTAAATGTAGTGAGATGTTACACATTTCAGTGCACACAGGACTTCAGTTGCTAAGCACTCATTTTGACTTACTAAAAGTTGCTTGTTTACTTTGGGGGGGGGGGGATAGTACTTGGTGTCAAGTATTGCTTTGCTTTTTCAACACTCGTAGACTTGGGCTTATTTACAAAATTAACCAAGATTTTTGTTCCTAACACAGCATTTGCAATGCTTTTGAGCTTTTGACTTTTCATATTTAACTTTAATGCAGCTCCTACCATATTTGAAATATGAATTTTTTCTGACACAACATGCAATGAGCCATGTAAATATTGTTAGGCACACACACTGAACCCACGAAGCATGGGCAAAACTGTCTTCCCAATTCTGTTGAAAGTTGCACTTTCCAGGCATGATCAATAATAATAAAACAAAAACATGGTTCTCCTTGAAAACAAACTTCTATCCAGTTGAAGCAACTGACTTTAAGCTAATAATCATACAAACAGAGTATGACTGACAATAATGTATCAGAGAGCCATAATCTCAACTTAACGAAATAGAGTCACTGTTACATCTGTGAAGCATTGTAGCATGATACATTGTCCAAAATATTTTTGATCAAGACCAGTTTGTATATTATAGTTAAAGTTGATTTCTAGTGAATAAGGAACTCTTGTATTTGAGTGTTCTGTTTGAATTAATAAACTTAAGAATATATTCAATAAAAAAGGATTTGTGACATCTGGATAACTTACTGCTTACTGTACCCACTAAGCCTAAATCATCCTATCTGATGTCTTTTGACAGAAGAATATTCCTGTAACTCTCAAAGAGACACAGCACAAAATTCTTAGATCTATGGTTTGTTCCCAAGTGTTAAAATCCTTTGTTCACTCTATGAGAACTTTGCCTGACTAATATGTTGACAAACCACAAATTACTGCTAAAATCAGTTTTATTTACTCTACAGTTATGTACATAGAATAGAATCTCCTCTATTCAATCATTTTTAGCCTTAGGCTCTGCCTATTTTCAAAGCTGAATTACATCAGGAACGGATAAGCCCCACCTTTACATCACGGACAGAGAAAGATAAGTAATGAAAGTAAAATAAGTAATGGATCACTTTGCACTCAAGGGATAATAGTTTCTTAGTAAAATATGTAATCAAACTTTAATACAAGCAGAAAAATTCTAAAAAATGCACTGTTTACAAACTTCCATGGAGCTGTGTAAAAATTAAAGTTGGTTGTTTACAGGTTACATACTTATTGGAGTGGGTGATGAATAAAATAGAGAAAAGAGGATGCTTAGAGAAACAACGTCACAATTCTCACACTAGAGGGAATTCAGGATTTTTAAAAATGTTACAGAAGTTGTGTTCTTCATTATAAAGAAGCAAATGATGTCCACTGCCTCTCATTACCTACTGCCTTCCACCCTGGGGTCAGCACCAGTTTGCAAATTGATGCCAATTTGATGTGTTTCTTTGTTCTTTAAGACTGTTTGTGTTCAGTTACTTTAATAAATAATACTAGACTATAACAATCTATGTTTACCAGTACCAAAATAAAGCACTTATACATTATACACAGGTAAGAAACAATGCCTTCAGCTATATATCTCCACATATGTAATGTTAAAATGACCCTGTTTAGAGCTGATTCGTTTAGAGCTCTGTTCTCAGGAACCCTTTCTGAGTGCTAAATGGGGTATTACTATATTTATAATAACTTCATATATTTGTACTTACATGATGCGTCTTCAAACCCAAACACAGTTTGTTGTAGTTCTTCTTTAGCTTCTTCATTTTCTTTCTTAACTTTCATATAATCATATTCTGAACAATCTAGAATGTCATCATCACTCTCACTGAACTTGGAAATAATGCCATCTTTTGGTAAATCACCATGTTGCTCTGTTTTTATTCTCACAAATGTTTTCTGAAACAATAAGGATAGATTAATGAGATTATTATCAAACATTAACAAAGTACAGTTATTTCTTTTGACAAATTATACACTTAGTTGTTTTTTTTATGTATACATAAGATACTTGAATAAACATAAGTGAAAAATAACAGTGAAGAAACATTTATTGCAGCAATATTTTTCTTAGATAAACATCACACATGAAAGGCTAAAATATCAAAATAACATTTTGAAGGCATTTTAATGAAAGAACTATTTAAATGATTAGTTTGTAAAATGACTATCATTCACTACTTTAGATTGCAGAGGATAAAGTTTTCACTTTGCAATATCTTCTGAACTAGCAAAACAGAGCACAATAAATTATATAAATAAGCATAGAGACAACCCATTAAAAGAGATTTCCTGGCATTATATGTGATTCTATAAAACAAATTTTTGTTCCTACGGTGGTTAAAACAATTTGATATAAAAGCACTTACATAATGAAAATTAAAGATGGACAATTAGAAGAATTTTCTAATCAATTAATAATTGGGCTCATTAATCGATTACCATTCAGCTAATTAATTATTCTCATAAGAGACATGAATAGTTGGAATAAATGAAAACATTTTGTTTAGTTAATTATTTTTGGCAGTTATTATACTAATCAATCAACTTTTTCAACCCAGGTTCGGTCCCTGGGACTGATCTCGTAACTATTTTGTGCGTAATAAGCGAACATTAACGAAATTTGGCAGATAATCAGTAAACATTACAATGTTCTCATACACCAAATATCAATTTTTTTTATTAAGTCTTAAGGTTTATAAAGCAATGTTTCTCTCATGCATTTTTTTCTTTTCCCATCTTGCTTGTCTATCATGCAAAGTAATTTTCATTTTATGATTAAAAATACTTTTATGCATCAAAAATTTTCAAATTTCACACGCGAAATCTTTATAATGTCTGGATAGTTATCAAATATTTCTTAAGAAAAAACTTTATATTTTATCTGTTATTTTCAGTAATTAATCTCTGTACAGGTTCAGAAAATGTGACCAATCTTGCAACCACCATAAAAAAATTAGGAAACAAACATAAATTATGCCTTTCATTCTAGAATGAACACGAAAACATAAATGTTTAGCTTAAATCTCATAACATTATACATTTATATATATATTCATTATTTTTATTATATTGACCTTTCACCCGTGCCTGGTTAGCAAAACAGAAATTACAACAACGTGGCTCACGTGCACTCATGTTACCATGTCAAATAACATAAAGGTGACCTTTGGTCTATACAAAGTAACTTGTCATGGCTGTGTTTTAGTAGACTAGTATTTTGTAAAATAAAGTCACATTTCAATTATTATACATTATACATTTATATAGATTATTGCTATTTGGAAACCTGAATCTGGTCATGTATTTTCCAAAAATTGGGGTTCTAATCAATGTGTCAATTTTTCAATAGTCCTGGCGCCTATGTTTCTTTATAAGAGGCATCAATAAAAGTAGGCAAAAAAATAAATACAATTCCTGCACACGTGTCTACCCATCTATGAATGCGAGACTTAGGTGTGAATATAGTTATCCACTATGTTCCTGTAGTATTTGTTGGTTTCTGTGGCAATAAATGACATCAATTCCTGGTCAAAGAAGGTCTCAAAACAGTCAAGTTCTTTTGCATCATTACCATGAGGACGGTCCTCATTCACACCTGAATGCTGCTTGTCAAAATCATGGTGCGCATTTGAGTTATTGGCTACGGAATTTTGAACCTCATATGAGGACCATCACACTCGCACTCGGAACCTCATATAAGGATCATACCAGCTGATGGATTAATGTAAGTATATGGGCGTGTTGGGTTAAGATTCTTCTACAGTAGGGGTTTTTGACTTGTTGGCAATAAATTCAACAATAAACAAACAGCACACACACTCCACTTGTTTTTCAAATAATACATATATATTCGAAACAAGTTAAACGTATGTACAAAATTTCTTTACACTATGGAGTTCAGAGTTGTATCTTAAACACTATAAAGTTATCTTCTTCTTGCCAAAAGTCCACTTAGGCCAAATCAATTGCTTTAGAATTCAGTTGACAAGCCAATCTACTCTTCTCTCTATTTCTATCATGATAGCATTCGTGTAGAGTTCAGTTACATTGTTGTTGAGTTACTGTGGTTGTATCCTGTACTTCCAATTATCGTCTGCTTTCATACTTCCAATAGTCATATGCCTTTTGTCAAAGTCCAATTAGGCGGGTTCAGTAACTTTAGAACACCCTTTGACGAGACAACTTATTCTCTTTATCTTTTTCAAAATTGTTAATCTCACTCTAATATCAACCATTAAGCCTTTCACTCTCATGATGGTTAACTTTTCTCTGACAAATCTCTTTGGTGTGACGTTACTTTTCTTCTCTGTTTCCACGTGTCTAGTTGCCATTATTTATATGTATATCACTTAGGCCTTCTAACAATTTCCATAGCCTAGAACTCAATGGATTGCAAACATGACATTCAATAGCCTCGACATCAATGAATTACAAACAAAATTAATTAATTAATAATACTACCTACACTAAACAGTCTTTTATATCTGACACAGATCTACTCAAAAGCAACATCATCAATCATCAATCTCAAGGACCCATTGCACAGAGGTGGAGCATATTTGTGAAATATGTGCAACATCATCCCCCAGATGTAATCACACAGAAGTTGGAATGCAATGACAACTTCCAGGTCCCACCACACAGAAGTGGATCACCACTAAAACATATATGCAACCTCACCTTCTGGATAGAATTGCACAGAAGCTGGGAGTGACATCAACCTTAGGGACCCACCACATGGAGATGGAGTGCATGACTGGAGGATCAATGTCATGTCCACCAGCAGAACAACATCACCCTACTCTCTACTGAATGGATGTTTCCACGGTCCACTGCCCAAGTGGCTCAGAACTGAGAAGTGGAAAGGACTCTCATACTTCACTGGATGAACATGGGGGGGAGGTGATGCCGTCGACAGTCCAGAGGAGACTGTACAGTGGGTGACCACGAAATCCCTACTTTGAAAAGCAGACCACCCATTCTGCTTTAGTCATGAAGTCCATGGGTGAGTACTGTCTGGAACAAGCATGTTTATGAAGCAAATATATCACAAGGAAAAACCTAGGAGCAATCTTGTGGAACACCCCATCACAACAGTGTGCATTATAGGCCATGGATATCCATCAAGATTGTTGAGGTCAGCCACCCCTTGAAATCAACTTTGGTGGACCATCGCATACAATCCTTACCATGCTACTCCACACAACATCAACCTACTAGGGCCCAACCTGTGCAATTTCAACCCCAGATAGGACTGCAAAGAGGCTGGAACACATGTATCACCAGCAGCATGTCCCATGTAACTACAGTTTGCAGAACGATTAGATTTGGGACCATGCAACCTCAATCCTGGGACTCACCACACAGGATTGGAGAGAGTGAGTCACTAGGCAAGGACAGGTAATGTTCACTACTGAGCAGGAACCTAAACTTAAAAGGGACATGCTCCTGGAAGGATATTAATAAATAGAAAAAACAACTGACCAAGTCACAGGCGAATTGATAAAATAAACATATACAGAGAAGAAAAAAATCTGACCAACAAAGTATTAGTAACAGTATGTGGAAGTCAGGATGCAAACTTCAGAAACCTGAATTTAAATTAAACAGACTAGGTTAAAAAAACTACAGTGAACAAACTGTACAAATTGAACAAAAAATGTTAAAGTACTACTTTGCAAATATAAAGAAAATATTGCATGAAAAACAACACCATGTTAAACAAGTCTGCACTTGATAACTGCCTAAGAAGTAATAGATAGAATTGAATAGAGAGAGCCACATGCATCAAGAGGCTGTCTCACTCCCATTGGTGGAGGGTTGTCACATGATAATTTTCATGCAAAGACACTGTGAACCACGTGGATTGTAGGGTAGATGGGAGTTCTAAGGCTTGTGGCATGAGAAGAAACTTTCCATATAGAGGGCAGCACTGAACAAGAATAGCTAAAAGCATGACTAGAAGGAAGATACTGTATCGGAAACACAATTTTAAATTAGTTGATTATATTTGTGATATTAATCGATTTAACCATAATTTTTAATAATGAATTATTTCACCTGACACTACTCCATGTAATCAATGCTCATAGGTAATCAATTATATCAGGTTAATAGCCAGTTGTACAGAAAATACATAAATGTTTAAGTCATAATTATTTTATTATTGTTATTTACATGAGGAATATATATATATATACATACATACATATACACACAAAAGAAGAGGGTAATGTAATAATTCAGTCTTGTTTATAACAATGGTTTCATATATATAGTCACTGCCTTCTAATCGACACTTAAATTTTATATGATGGAAGAAAAGTAATTGAAGTTGTATCATATCTAATTACTTCTTTGCAGCATGTATAAAAATTATTCTAAAGTTATAATTTTCCTATATTGAAAATATATTTCCGATAGGGCTTTACCTCCACTCCCATAAATAGGTATTATCATTCATTGTGGATTACAAAAATATTTTTTTGCATATAGAGGGCAGCACGCTCCCATATACCTTACAATCAACTGGTTCAAGTGCATCTCGGATGTAAATCATCATGCAACAACCCTTCACCAATAAGAGTGTGACACACTCTCCTGATGCATGTGACTACCTCTATTCGATTCTACTGAACTATCACTTTGAGTTTTGGCAGAAAATGGAAGCACCAGTTTTCAGTGAGGAGGAAGGGTGGGAAGTGTGAAGGGAGATAAGTACCTATCGGAAATACATTTTCAGCATTGGAAAATTATATCTTCCAATACAGTACATTACCTCTTCTCATATAAATAGCTAGAATCCCACATTGAACAGGTGGAGGGACTGCTGCAAGGGAAAACAAAGAAGCATTCTTTGAAAACATCCAAAGAACACCTTAAAGAGGAGATCTTCA